CTGTGTCTCAAAAATAAATAAATTGTAAAAAATTTAAAAAAATACTTGGAATATATTATCTCCCTATCTCCTGCTGCCTGCCGAATTCATAATTCTATTCTCCCCATTCTTCTCCCAGAAGGAAATTGTTTTCCTTCAAAGGGAATATTCATACAGTTCTTTACATGCCCTTTATAATATTATTATTTAAATTATTTTATTAAGACGGTCCGAAATAGAATGTCCTAATATTCCCCATTATCCTTTTTAAAAGGCAGTGGTCTAAATTAAGAGTATCATTTTATATACTATATGAGCAGAAATATCTGAACAGAAATAACATATACTCAATCGAGTTCTGTTTTCAGGCTAAGCTTGAATGATTAGCTTTCTTGAAAGCCACATCAGAGGCTAGCTCACATTGAATTTATTGTGCGGTGAATCACTTAAACATTTTTGTCACATGCGGATGTTAACTCAGTTCTTACATCATTTGCAATTTGGATCTAAGTATGGTATCTTCTATGTGCACATCTCTACTATATTTCATTTGTTCAGTTCAGCCCATCATTACAGGTTATAAAGATCACTTCTGGATTATAATTGTTCTGCAGTGCATTCACTAACCCTTCAAGCTTCCAGTGACCCACAAATTTAATGAACATACGAGATTCTTCTCTGTATGCTCATCCAATTTACTGATTAAAATGTTGAACAGAACACCACTGGAGACACAGTTCTGAGGCCTCTCTAAAATTATATTAGTCTTACGATCTTTTTTGGCATTTTTATTTTTTAATGACTTATCAATGTACTTAATTAATGGTCCTTGCATTTAGAGTATAACATAAAACGTGTGCCACGACATATTAGCAATAAACAGTGAGCTCATTTTATTAAAAAGATAAAAAAACTGATTACCCATTCCTTATTTCTTATATGGCATACACAGAGGAACTAAAAGCAAAATAGAAAGAGTAAATGCTGAAATCGTAATAGAAGGCGTATCTAGGATTCACTCTAACCTAGGCTCCATGGTGAATCTGTATTTATGTCCATGACTAGCCATATATATATATATGTTATATATATATGCATTTGAGAGAATAATTGTATTTACATATATAAATATATATATAAATATATATATAAATTTCTCATAAGTTTCACAAGGTTGTTGTTGACCCTTCCTAAAAGGTTTAAGCATTCCTTAAAGTGTTAAAATAAATACAGCCTCCCAATTTTGTTATATCTAGGATGAAGCACATCTGATATTTATAAAAAGCACCAGATAAGCAAAAGTGATGCTGTAAACTGAAGAGCAAAGTACAAGTGCATATTAGAAAATAATCTTGGGATGCCTGGGTGGCTCAGAAAGTTAAATGTATGACTTCATCTCAGGTCATGATCTCGAGGTTTGTGAGTTGGAGTTACCACATCGGGCTCTGTGCTGACAGCTCAGAGCCTGGAGCCTGCTTCAGATTCTGTGTTTCCCTCTCTGTCCCTGCCCCACTTGAGCTCTCTTTCTCTCTCTGTCTCTGTCTCTCTTTCTCCCTCTCTCTCAAATAAAATAAACATTTAACAAAATAATAAAAAATAAAATAATCTTAATTTATTATATAGTTCATTTTAGATACAGTTGATATTGTGTTCTTTCCTCCCCACTGTAGTACACTTGGAACTTCATCAAAATTGTATTCAAAAGTCTTTGTCACTTACTCTGTGATTTTGGACTATACTTGAGCTTTGCAAGCTTGGGTTTGCTCACCGTTAAAAGTAAGACTTTATCATGTAGGGGTATATATATATACATTTATATATAATTTGATATAAATTTATTTATTTATTAAACACTTGCCTTATAAAGAATTGTAAGCATAAAATGACAGAATGCATGTGAAGCATGTTAACGCAGTGACAGGCACAGAGTAAACATTTTCCAGTGTGTTTATGTTCTCGGGGATTTGTGTTGTTGTTATTTTGTTGTTTGAACACTGTTTCAGGGCACCTGGGTGGCTCAGTTTGGTTGGGCTTCCAACTTCAACTCAGGTCACAATCTCATTGTTCTTTGGTTCTAGCCCCACGTTGGGCTCTGTGCTGACAGCTCATAGCCTGGATCCTGCTTTGGGTTCTGTGTCTCCCTCTCTCTGTGCCCCTCTTCCACTAATTCTCTGTCTCTCTCCATCTCTCAAAAAATGAATAGACGTTAAAAAATTTAAAAAAAAAAAAAGAAGACTTTTACGTTGTCCTTTTTTTTCCTGTTATGAGAGGAAAGGGCCTGGAATCTTCCTCCTCATTTTAAATATACAATGTTAGAAAGCATAAGAAGCACTAAGAAGGTGACAGAGTAAACTGGGCAGGGAGTAGGCCATCGGCTTTTTACAGATTATGGATGAGCAATCTTGAAAACACTTGAATAACCTTGTCTAATTCATAGTGTTTGGAGAACAGATAAAGATTAAGGACTAAATGGTAATGTTCTTTATACTTGTATACGTTGCTTCGAAAGAGTGGGAGGACCACCTGGGGCCCCGTGTTTGTCCCAGTTGCTTTAACATAAGTGTGTGATAGAGCCGCCATCCCCATGGTCTTTCCCAAGACACGTAGGCCTCACACTGAATCATCTGAGTTACTGAATCCTATGCTAATGGTCTTGGTGTTTCAGCACATAAGAACCATAAAACAATGACTAACACTATATAAATCCTTACCTTGGTCTTCTGAAAGAATGACATGGCTCAAAGTATTTGCATATATCGTTCTACAGTGTCGGAATCCAGCTCCGGCAGGTCCAGGGGTCCCTGAAGGATGGACGGTGTCAGCAAGAGAGGGTGAGAGAGCCCCGAGATCCTTTCTGATCACCAGGCAGGCATCTCTGTCCTGTAGGTTTTGGTGTCTTTATTTATAGGTCAAACGTTAACATGGCATCGGAAAAAGGAATTTTTACAATGGATAGTTCTCTGTGATAAGATGTTTTTGGAAAATGTACAGAAACAGGTTTTACAGAAGTCTTCTTGCAGAACTGCCCCAATTATAGTGAGGTTGAGTAACTAAGCAAATGACAGGGGGTTCCTAGTGAAAAACAGGATAACATACACATTTTAATAACTCTAAGATTAAGTCATAAGTTAAGTTGTAGATACTCTTTTCCATCCTCATCACAGCTGCCAGGGTAAGGGAAGGGGTTTGTGGAATGGAGGCCTTAGGGAAGGGGTTGCTATACATCATCAGTTAGCAAAGGTATATGTAGTAACTCATGTTCTGCTCTTATCTGTTCCTTCTCTCTAAGTTAGGCTCTTTGTCTCCGGGCAAGGCTTGATTTTCCAGGTATATGCTTTATGGCACCGAAGAGCCAACCATACCTTTAAAGAGTCTAGCTCATTTCCAATACACAGAATAGCCTCTTCGAGTGCATTTACCTTTGTGTCTACTTTTATGATTTCTTGAATAGCTAGGGCATGAGAGACATTTTTGGTTAGATGATTTAAATGTTGAGCTGTAAGAACATCTTGGAATAAAAAAACAGTAGAAACAAAATTGTACATGTAAAGGTCAATCTTTCATGAGTAAGGGTCATTAGCCTGTTCATAGCTCAAGGGAAAGTATGGAGGGAAACAGGACCTGCTGGAGACACGATGTCTGTTCCCATAATCAAAAGAAGTTGTTCCCACAATAAGTTCCTTCACAAGGTGCAATCATCATACCAGGGCCGGAATAAGGGGACAAGTCACTCCCGATATTGATCAACAAGGTACCCTAGGGGTCAGTTCTAAGCAGAAATAATTGAGTGGGGGTGGATATCGGTCGTCATTTGATTGGCAAGAGACCGTGCAAACTTGCTTTAACCTCACCAGGAGTTTTCTCCACTAGTGGGCTAAGAATGGCTCCCAACACTACAGTATAGTATAATCCCAAATTTATAGAACCTTTCTTATTTCCAGTTTTGTTAATTCTGGGTGGTTTTTTTTTTTTTTTTTTTTGGTATATTTTCTCTCTGTTGCTTTTCAGATATAACAGATTTGAAGCCTGAATAAAATATAAAAACCTTTTTTCTAAAATTCAGAACTTGAATAAAGGATAAGGTAAACTAAAAATATATATTTATAAAAATATTTGAGATAATGACCTAAATATAAACTTGTCTGAATTCTTTATATGTTGCAGCTTAAAAATTCAATCAGTGGATAGCCCTAACTAATTTTTCTATTTTTCCATTTTCAAATGAACATTTCAAGCCAAATTGGTTCCTCTTGTCTGAGTAGTTTCCAATATGCCAATTGTTTTTATTTTCCTATCTCGAATACCAAGAGAAAGTGAAATACCGTTATTTACACAAGACCTTTCAATATATCACTGGCAAAGACATCTCTTAAATTCAGTGAACAATTTACGTCTGCTATGTATTACCTTGCCCTCTAGAGGTCACAATAAAGAATGTTCAAACATTAAGCCAAAATAGTCGAGAGAAAACATATGGCCATCTGCATAGCTAAAAAAGTTATTCTGTAGATAGGATGTGCTATTTTGCAACATTTACCTCACTTCCCGGGATTAAGTGTGGAAATATTTGAATGTTGTGCATAGAGTGTGCTTTGAATTATACAATAATTAAAAATGATAAAAATGAAAACTTTAGTTCATATATTTATGCATGTAGTCAACAAAATATTTTTGGCTCTTACAACACAGTTAATCATTTCTGACTGCCTCTTTCCCCAAAGATTTTTCTTAGTCTACTCTTCTTTTAAAGAGGGGAGATGTCTCATTTACACTCTATTTCCAGAGCATAAAATACGACATGGTACATAGAAGATGCTCAGTAAATATTGGGAGAACTAATTAAATGAGTAGGCAATGTGAATTTCAGAATACCTGACTTTTGCATAGCACAGGATTGTTCTAAGCATAATAGTCAGATGAGAGCCTCTATTTAGACATGTTGTAAATGTAAAAGCATTGTACAAATGTAATTTATTATGTCATAAATATGGGTTCGTTATTTCCTAAAATACGCAGATAAGTGCTGTATGTTCAAGAAAGTGAAGAATAAATTTTCGCAGTATGTTTTTTTTTGCTCTCTCACGGAACCAATACAAGCTGGATTTTCAGATTTTCCTACCTGCATACCTAGGCAAAGGTAGGTATATTCATTTCACATGTATTTCCCTCTTCCACCTCTGTTCCTTTTCTTAAATTGCCCTTGACATTTGGAGCAAACTAATCCCTGCATCTTTTTCATTCCACAGTCCTGTCTTCTGTAAGTACTCAGCTGGAATTTTACTTATTCAAAGAGCAGTTCCGCATTAACCCAGGCTCAAGAGCCTTCCTCTCACTCATCGGAGAGAACAATCAATTCTAATTTACATGCACAACAATCTCTGGCCAGTAGTGCTTTGGGAAACCACAGTTTTGTCTACTGCCGTTTTAAGAAAACACTGAATTATATCTGTATGCCCCAAATTTCAGGTCTGCAGTTCTCACATGTTTGGTTCATTTTGGTCCTCCTAAAGGATAAGGAAAAAATAGTTGTCTTTTTCCTGCCTTCGCTATCTTGTGAACAGGCCGGGGGGCAGATACTACAGGGAAAGATCTGAGGTCTGTTGGTTTTCTTAACATCTAATGTATGGTTATGTCATTTCCTTCAAATGACCATGGTTCTTTGGAATTTATCACAATTATGTTTGTGATAATTGATAATATCCTAAGAGAAAGTATAAGTGCAGAAAATATGAGATATCAAGCTAATAATAACAAGACCACCTCTTTCGATATGTAACAAAGCATATTTGGAGAATTTATCTTGAAAATCCCCATACTGAAGCTCTGAAGGGATCATCAAGGTTATTTCTGAAGGAAGAACATACTAAGAATTTTATTTACTGTTGCAGATATATATACTGTTTCCTTATTTTACAAAGTAATGTGTCTATTGCTTGCTTACTTGTTCCCATATGCCCACTCCTGTGATATTTTGGGTTACTGTTCTGCCTCAGTAAAATACATAATGATAATTCCTCATAGATTATGGAATAAAGGAGAAGCTGAGCAACTCAAGTTTCATCATGAAAGCTTTATATGTATATGTATGTTTATAAAATATGGATTGCTATCATTCATCAGATCCATTAAAGTGACAAAATACTATTGGTGACAATTCACATTTTTTACTTAGTATGCAAAGCCAGTGCAGAAAATGGCTCTGCTGGCTTTCAATTTGCTGCAAAATTACTTCAATCAAAAGAAAGACTGCCTTGATTTTAATTGACTTTATATTAAATCAAAAGTGTATGTGATCCATAGTTCAGGTTACTAAAAATGAAATATGTTCAGATACACCAGTCAAGGCCATCTGATATTTTTATTTCTAATTGCAAATGATAAAATTGATACTGATGTACTCTCTGCAGCTATTTCAGAGTTGGAGCTCTGTGAAATAAAAAAAAAATTATGATAAACTAAGCAAAAAAGACGAAACAAAACATATTCTCTGGTCCTCTTCATTATCTCATTAATGCAGTTTCCATTGAGCTTTCTCATTCACACTAATTTTTGAAGTCTTGTATTGAGATTAATGTGAAACTACTTTTTACACGTTCCCTTCCATCTAGGCTTTCAGGTTCATCTTTAAAAATGGAAATAATGAAAATGTATGCCTTGTACAGAGAGAATAATCCCTCTGGGTATAAGCGTGCCAGATGTGAGTCCATAATAGCTTCTATAAGCTACGTAGCCAATCTGTATTGCCAGATTTTACATTATAGAATTCACATAACTGCATTCCTTGGAGACTTGCTTTTCCTTATGTATAATAGCAAAACATGCATACGTGGAACTCATTATCAGAGTCTTTGGTCATGCTTTTGAATAGAGGGCTTTCTATAACATCGAAGAAACATAGCTGACTTAATATGTATTTTTCCTGAATCTTTTCAAGGGAAAAACTACAAATCAGCGGTTGGATGCTAAGTAAGAATCAAATAATCCAGCTCCATTTGAACTATACTGAATGGATATGAGAGTTTACACAAAGACAACGGGAGAAGAGAAGAAAAATAAAACCATATAAATGCTTGCAGGGAGCTTTATGCATTGTATAAAGTTTTAACCTACACAAATAGGCTTAGTTCATTAAATGTTAGCAATAGACTTTTAACAGTTGTTTTCAGATAAAATCATAAATAATTTTTCAATAAAATTAGAATTTCTTTTACGTATATGTGCTAGTATACAATGAAATAATATACAGTTGTCTCTTGAAAAACATGGGTTTGAAATGCACAGGTCCACTTACACTGGAATGTTTTGATAAGTACCGTATGGTTCTGTAAATGTATTTTTTTCCTTATGATTTTCTTAATAACATTTTCTTTTCTCTAGCTTACTTTATTATAAGAGCACAGTATATAATACATATAATTTCAAATTTCTGTGGTAATTGAGTATTTATGCTCTCAGTATGACTTCTGGTCCTCAGGAGGGTATTAATAGCTTTAGGGGAATCAAAAGTTCTAAGTGATATTTTGACTGCATGGGGTAGGGGGTGTTGGGAACTCCCATATTGTTCAAAGGTTAACTGTATATATCTATCTCACTTATGCACAAACATATGAACTTTCCTTATAAATAGAAGTAATATGAATTCTGAAATGTGCATAAAATAGCAATGACTGTCTTACCCCCAGATTGTAAGTATAAATTTTATATATTTTATTTACTACCTTGAAACATTAAAAAAAACTATAAAATATTTTGTGAACTACTGTAAAAGTAGTTAATCAAATTTAAATTTAAGAATTCTTTTTTGTAAATCAAGCATTTAAGGAATATTTTTTATCCATATAAAAAAACTCCACTAAAACCCTCACAGTACTTAATGATGCTGTATATAAAAAGTCTAAAATTAACAAGACAAAAATTTTACTAACTGCTGTGAAAATGTCTACATAAAATGTCTTTGATAATTTATTTATCATTAGAATCAGTATGGAAGCTCCACAATATAGCTGAATAAAAAAATAAAGTACATATGATTCATGGTAGCTTATTAGCAATGAATTGAAAATCTCTTTGAAGCTATATCCTGATATAGCTGGTAGAAACTCTTTCAAAGATTCTTGAAAATTTTTGCAAGGAGAACGACAACTTTGAACTGATATAGTACCTGATAGATTAATCATTTAAAAAAATAGAGAATGAATAGGTTATTAAATAAGTGGTGATTTAACAAAATACTGTCTATATTAGATAGATTCCTCCCAGTGAAACACATGCTGAAAAATAAAGGTTATTTTTAGCCAAAAAAAGCAATAATAACATCCAAAAATTTTAAAGAAGGATATCTTAAAACAGATGGCAACAGAATTTGTGGGTTAGAAGACTGAGAAATTTGGAGTCAGCTCTTTCATATATCTGCTTCTACTATTAAAGTCAATAAATAAAAAGCAACTTAAAAATATAAAAATGGATGAAGACAAAGACTCTTACTGTCCATCCAACTTCCAACTTCCAATTATGCATTCTTCACAGTGAAATATCATTTAGAGAAACAAAATACAAGCTAAAATGCTGTTTTCCCATTCTGAGTCTGGGCATGTTCGTCTGACTACGTTCAGAATAGTGAAATGTCATTAAACTCAGATACAAAATGTGCCTGAACAAAATTCTACAAGTAATTCTAAGAAATGAGACAGAGAATAGCAAATGACAAAAGATTAATAATAATAATAATAATAACAAGGATTGGTACAAACTTGAGCTCTTTTACATAACTAGACATGGTTTCAGTTTTGATAGTATTAAAGAATGATTTGGAGAGCAACTTGACAAAATCTCCAAATAAATTTTATTGTAACCAACTATGCTTTTTATCATTTATCCATTTTATTAGTTTTGTCATATATAATTGGTTACAGTATAGTTCCTAGAATTTTGGAAAGTTGTTCTCCATATATATATATATATTTAATCTCAAACTACTATATATATTATATGCATAATATATATCCCAAAATACTATCAAAATAAGAAGATTTTGTATGTTCTTGCAATAAAATCTCTCTAGTAATTGAAATAACTGATTAAACTTCTCTGTAACTTCATTGATAAGTCTTAAATACTGTGTGGTGTGGAAAAATATTTCAAAAATTAGTTACAATAGCGTATTTTTTAAGATTTGCTGATATTCTGAGCAGGAAACTGTCTTTGAGAAGGTGAGAGGCAAGAATAAGAAGCTAAAAACTAAACGCCCAAATATCAGAGACATAGCATCATGTTTTTGGTCTTGTCAGCAGTGGAGAGGGGAGGGGAGGCTCTGTTCCACACAGTCACTCAGAGATCAAGTGTCCTTTGATCACAGGGTTCTGCAGCCTTTACGGTCTTCTACTTTCCTGTGTTTCAGCCGGCTAAGGGTGGAAAGAGTGTGGAGAATTTTCATGATGTTTCCAGTTCATATTTAAAATATGGTGAATTTCAAAGACTAAACCATGAGTACATTACCAAAATCAACGAATAAAAGAATTATGAGTTTGTGCACCAAAGTCAGTCATTAAGAAAAAATATATCAAATATCAATATTGTCATAGAAAAAATCAGAATTTCAGTCAAATCAAAAAGATGGTAAGAATCATGCATGCATAAGTTGACAAAAATAGCAAAACTTTGACAGTTTTCAGGCATTGGGATATACTTGAGAAGCTTCTACCTTTACTCAAAAGTTTAAAGTTTCTCCTGAGATTGAGGGAGGGGGCTGTGCAGTGCCTAGGGAAAAAGAATTTCAATTACAATCTGCACATATTTTTCATCTCCACCAGGAAGCTTTTGATCTGAGGTTGCCACACATGATTTATGCTCTGTGAAGAGCAGAACTACAAATAGAAAAGCTCCATGTTAAGCCTCGGCAAATGCCATTGAGTGGGTTGGAGGCTAGAGTAACAGGTGAAGTTGTTAGTGTAAAGAGAGAATAAGTTTATGTCTCTTTGTACCAACAAAATGACCTTATTGCAAAAGGTGGAGAAATGTAAGATGAAGCAGAGAGGGGAAAATTAGGAAAAGATTCAATGGCGAATTATCTTTCATTTTCCTGTTGATAAATTTGATATGACAATAGTCTTAAAAATTTAACAAATGCTTATATCTATGAATGAAATACCTAAAAATTTAAGATTATAGATTATTTTTTCCTACAGATCTCTTAAGATGTCTCTATTTTTTATAGATTATTACTTTTCTCTACAGATCTCTTGTGGCATTTAGCTATTTTATAGTCATTATTTCATGTTCAGAACAATTACAGTTTTAACCACCTCACAGGACAGTTATGAAGGTAATAATTGTTTTCCTGTGTTAAAAATGTCTTAAACTTAATTTTAAGTTTTTGTAAACAAGTTATTTTTTGGGTAAATTGATTAAGGTAACACTGACTAGGTGTCAGGTGTTGAGTATTTCATATTATTCTAGTGCTGAATGAAGGCATATATAATGATACTTCTCAAATAACTATAATCTTGGCAGTGAGATCTGGATTATGCTTGCATATTGGTTTCCTGTAATGTATGCATGAGAGTTTTTCATATTCCAGTTGACATCACTCTCTTTAACTGTGTACATTTTCACTGCCTTCAATGCTTTTAAAATTTTAAAAGACTAAGCATAAGATCAATTGAAGTAATCATCGTTTTTATCTGAATGTGTGTCAGAGTACAACTTTTTAAACCTTATTTTTGGATTGTTTTATAAAAATAATATACGTTTAAAAAGTTGGAGAGTTGGGGCTCGTGGGTGGCTCAGTCAGTTAAGTGTCCGACTTCGGCTCAGGTCATGATCTCACAGTTGCTGTGTTTGAGCCCCGCATGGGGCTCTGTGCTGACAGCTAGCTCAGAGCCTGGAGCCTGTTTCGGATTCTGTGTCTCCTCCTCTCTTTGACCCTCCCCTGTTCACGCTGTCTGTCTCAGAAATAAATAAAAAAGCATTAAAAAAATAAAAAATAAAAAGTTGGAGAGTGATTTCTTTAGTTAGTTAGTTATTTAGTTAGTTATTTTTAGAACAGTTTGCCTTTCTATGTGCAGGCAAAATACCGGAGATACAGGAGCAAATATGAGCACTAAACCTTTAACGCCAAAAGGAAATTTGGGGAAACAAATGAGGGTTACTTTCAACTCAGTCCACACTTATATTCTGAATTTGATCTAACTCTGAGCAGTATCAAAATTGATTAAAACACACACACACACACACACATACACACACACACACATTTTAAACTCCTTTTCACAGCACACATTTTATTACCAAAAAGGCAGTGCACCACATTGTCTGCTTTTGAGGAACTAAGAAAGGAGACTTCAGACTCACAAATACAGTTTATTATTAACTTAAAGATAAAGAATGTCAGAAGCCATTCATATAAAATAAAACAAAATAAACAAATTCTACAGGCCAAGGGTGACAAATGGGCGGGAGTGGTGATCTATGCTGAACCTTGAAAAAGGTGAATAAAAATGAGAGAAAATAATCTAGGGAGATGGATTCTGTATCATTCGGACTTTCTAATAATGAGCTAGACTTGTCGTGTCACATTGCGAGGTCAGTGACACTTATTAGTGGTTCACACTGTTGTTTCACTTCTTTATGCCCCAATACATCATTGTTGTTGCCTTCCTTTCCCATTCTCCTATTACTGCTTACCCTGTAGCCCTTCCAATCTGTTCTGGATGTAGCTGCAGAGGTGATCTTCTTAAAATTATAACTTGGATTATGTCACCACCTGGCATAATGTGACTCGAATTCATTTTGCATTGCCATTGTGAATATGGGCCTACTCAAAAACAAGATAAACTCTTCAATCTATCAGCATGATGTAAAAGCTGAAACCATGAACCTGCTGAATTACAGTTCCGAGGATAGAAGAGGCATGTAGAGTTTCATTTCTGGTGGATAAGTGGCCCATGCATTGCAGGGAACAGAAGCCCGGCTCAAACAATGTAACTAATCGCTGACGAAACAAACCTTCAGCACCCAGGAGCTACGACCATAAAACATCTGAAACTGAGCCTGAGGGCCATGGCTTTTACGGATATTAGTCACCTGGGGTAGTGAGAGGAAAAGACAAAACCATCG